TTTGCTTGGACAGATAGAAGTGAGGAGAGTTTCCAAGAGTTGAAAAGAAGATTGTCTAGTTCCCCAGTGTTGGTGATCCCAGATGTGACTCAATCTTTTCAGGTATATTGTGATGCTTCTATTCAGGGATTAGGTTGTGTCTTGATGCAAGATAAAAGGGCGGTGGCATATGCGTCGAGACAACTTAGAATTCATGAGAGGAATTATCCCATTCATGACTTAGAACTAGCAAGCAGTGGTGTTTGCTCTCAAGATGTGGAGACATTATCTTTATGGAGTCGATTTGAAGTTTTTAGTGATCACAAGAGCCTGAAGTATTTATTCGATCGAAAGAGCTAAATATGAGACAGAGAAGATGGATGGAGTTTCGAAGGATTATGACTTTCAGCTTACTTTATCATCCAGGAAAGGCGAATGTTGTGGCTGACGCCTTGAGTAGGAAGGCAGTTCAGATGTCAGCAATGATGATGGATGAATTGAGATTACTTGAGAAGTTCAGGGATCTGCATTTAGATGTAGAGTTTCGTGATACTAGTATTAGTTGTGATAGCATTACCATTACTAATGATTTTATCGAGATGATAAAAGATAGACAACAAGGTGATATGACATTAAAAAGTGTTATAAATCAGTTAGGATTCGAGCAAACCATTGACTATAAGATGTGTGAGGATAATATTCTGAGATTTAGAGGAAGGATTTGTATTCCTGTTGACCAGGAATTGAAGAGAACAATAATAGATGAAGGTCATCGGAGTCGTCTAAGTCTACACCCTGGTATGACTAAGATGTATCAAGATCCGAAGAAGGTTTATTGGTGGTCCGGTATGAGGAGAGATATTGCAGAGTACGTGGTCGCTTGTTTGACTTGTCGGAAAGCAAAGGTGGAACACCAAAGGCCGGAGGAATGCTACAACAAATGGAGATACCCGAATGGAAGTAGGATAACATTACCATGAATTTTGTTACCCATTTACCACGGACAATTCGAGGGTACGATTCGATCTGGGTGATAGTGGACAGATTGACGAAGAGTGCACATTTCCTCCCTGTAAATCTGAGGATATCTATGGCTAAACTGGCACAACTATATATTTGCGAGATTGTTCGATTACATGGGGTACCATCTAGCATTATCTCTGATAGGGATCCTAGATTTACTTCAAGATTCTCGCAGACTTTACAAAAGGCATTAGGTACCCGACTTAGGTTGAGTTCAACCTATCACCCCGCATAGATGGACAATCGAGAGGACCATCCAAATCACTAGAAGACTTGTTGAGGTCTTGTGTGTTGGATAATCTAGGAAGTTGAGATGAGATCCTTCCATTAATAGAGTTCACGTATAATAACAACTATCATGTCAATATCTGAATGACACCATATGAGGCTCTTTATGGGAGGAGGTGTCAAACACCTTTATGTTGGTATCAAGATGAGGAGAAAGTGTTGATTGGACCTCGAGCTACTCCAGCAGACTACGAGAGAAGGTCCGGAGGTACAAGAGAAGCCGAGAGCCGCTATGAGTAAACAAAAATCATATGCGGACCGTAGGAGGAGACCTTTGGAATTTGAGGGGGAGACCATGTATTTTTGAGAATCGGACCTACTATCGGAGTAGGAAGGGCAATTAAATCTAAGAAGTTGACTCCCAAGTTTATTGGTCCATATCAGATTTTGAAGAAGGTAGGTCCAAGTGACATATCGCTTAGCATTGCCACCTCATTTGGCGAATCCGCACAATGTATTTCATGTATCTCGCTTGAGGAAATATGTACATGACCCCAGCCATGTCCCGGAGTCGACAATGTGCGGATTAGAGACAATCTCTCCGTTGATGTGAGACCAGCAAGGATAGAGGATTCTCAGCTGAAGCAACTTAGAGGTAGAACTATCTCAATGGTAAAGGTAGTATGGAATCAGAAATCTGGAGACTTCACTTGGGAGATGGAGGATCAGATGCGAAAGTCTTATCCATATCTATTTCCAAGTAAGTTTATTTTCGAGGACGAAAATTTTTGTGGAGGGGAGATTGTGACGTATGCCTTATTTTAATATTACTGTGCAAGAAAACTTCGTAATGAAGTTTTCCTCATGCACAGTAAAAATTTTCTTATATATGAATACTGAAGCGGGGGATGAGAGAAATCAAAAGTTTTCCTCTCATCCTTCTTCTTCTATTGTCTAAATTTCAAGCAACGAGACTCTACTCGTGCAGGATCTGGTGAAACGGGAGAGAACTTGAATTAAGTGGGAAAGCTTCGGTAGAAATACCATACCAAGTAAGGGGAAGTTTAATTCATTCAATATATGAAATTGAATTGTTGAGTACTCTGTGAATAAGGAATAGGAGTAGAGATATGAAGTATTGGAATGTCTAATTTTGAGGAATGTCTAATTTTGAAGAATTTCTGATTTTGATGAACAGTTCATCGTTTGAAAGTTTTTTTTTATTATTGAAATTAAGGATGAATTATATACTAATATTGGTGTTTTTAACTTAAATTGAACATGTTTATGGTTAAATTTTGATTTGGAACTAATTTGGGTGATTGAAACTGAGAAATTTGAAATCTGGATTTTGAAAATGGCAAACTGGAAAATATGCAAAATTCGCTAAAGCGATAAATACATCGCTTGAGCGAGGACACTTGGAAAATTTGGGACTCTCGGGTCATTTCTCGCTCAAGCGACCGGTGTACTCGCTTGAGCGACGAAGCCTTCAAACAAAGGGGACTCTCGGGTCATGTCTCGCTCAAGCGATCGGTGTACTCGCTTGAGCGACGAAGCCTTCAAACAAAGGGGACTCTCGGGTCATGTCTCGCTCAAGCGACCGGTGTACTCGCTTGAGCGACGAAGCCTTCAAACAAAGGGGACTCTCGGGTTCTGTATCGCTCAAGCGACCGGTGTACTCGCTTGAGCGAGCGAAGGAAGAAGAAAGGGATATGGTGGGGATTTTTTTAAAAGATCAAGGGTAAACTAGTCATTTTACATCACAGGGACATGAATGGAATTTTCAAAAATGTCCAAGGGTAAAATAGTCATTTAGGGATATACATGGAATTTTAAGAAAAGATTAAGGGCAAAATAGTAATTTAATGATTTCGAAAATGATTTCGGAAATAGTTTCAGAAATAGTTTCGGAAATAATTTCGGAAATAATTTTAGGAAAATATATATATGTAAAGAGAGATAGAATGAAAGTAGAGTGTTGTGACGTGTGTGAGTCAGACTAAGCCTAAGGGCTGATGCCCAGAATCAGTCCTGAGACGTTATATATTGGCTAGACCGAGCCGAAGGTTGGTGCCGGAATCGGCCAAATACTATTTTTATTGACCCGAATGAGCCGTGAGGACAGGTGGTCCAGAATCCGACAAATGTGAATAAATTTTGTATGTTTGAATGGTACCCGGGTGGTACAGAGTACATTAGTGTAATAACTATGTCTGAGGATTCCGAATGAGGTCCCAGACTTCACCGATTGGTCTGGTCGGTAGACTACGAGATCGGGTGGTGAGAAGTCGATGGGGGATGACCGGTGGCGCGCTCGGAGGGGTACTCCAGTATGAGTGATGAAGGGCGCCGAGTAATCCTACTCGTGTGGAGGGTGGTCGGAATGGTACTGCGGTACCGATCACAATGTGCCCACGGATGATAGCCTCCGAGTTCGGGCATAGTTAGGGTATACTTCCGAAGGTGTCTTAGTATGTTGATAATTTCGTAATTGATCATAATATATAATTATTACTTCTATATCTCGTTTTATTATATCGAATGATTTAATACTTACCCCTATTTTTCCATGTGGATGGGACTCGCGATGATCACTTTTATGTGGGAGCAGATCAAGTGTTGAGAGATGGTGATGTGACTACTGGACAGACAGGAATAGTTCAGTGGGATAGCTTCGAGGGAGCTACTTTTACATGTATAATATATAAATAAATTATGTTACTATATTTTGAAGTTCTGTTAGTGAACTGAAATTTCAATATATGTTACAATTACAGTAATATAATGTAAAATACATGTTGTTATTTACTTGTTTACTACTTTGCAAAGACATCATTATAGTAGCGATTTCTAGGGTCGTTACAATAATTTGGGACTCTCGGGTCATTTCTCGCTCAAGCGACCGGTGTACTCGCTTGAGCGACGAAGCCTTCAAACAAAAGGGACTCTCGGGTCATGTCTCGCTCAAGCGATGTATTTTTCGCTTGAGCGAATTTTGCAGATTTTCCAGTTCGCCATTTTCGAAATCCAGATTTTAAATTTTCGCAGTTTCAATCACCCAAATTAGTTCCAAATCAAAATTTAACCATAAACATGTTCAATTTAAGTTAAAAACAACAATTTTAGTATATAATTCATCCTTAATTTCAATAATAAAAAAAAACTTTCAAACGATGAACTGTTCATCAAAATCAGAAATTCTTCAAAATTAGACATTCTTCAAAATTAGACATTCCAATACTTGATATCTCTACTGCTATTCCTTATTCACAGAGTACCCAACAATTCAATTTCATATATTGAATGAATTAAACTTCCCCTTACTTGGTATGGTATTTCTACCGAAGTTTTCCCACTTAATTCAAGTTCTCTCCCATTTCACCAGATCCTGCACAAGTAGAGTCTCAATGCTTGAAATTTAGACAATAGAAGAAGAAGGATGAGAGGAAAATTTTTTATTTCCCTCCTCCCCCGCTTCAGTATTCATATATAAGAAAATTTTTACGTGCATGAGGAAAACTTCATTACGAAATTTTCTTGCACGAGTAATATTAATATAATATTAAAATAAGGCATACGTCACAATTTTAAATATTAAAAGAATGAAAAATAGAAAAAATTTAAGAGATCATATTTTAAATTAGCTCATTTCATAAGAACTTAAATTATATTTAAGTTCTAATTTTATAAAGAAATGGAAAAAAAGGAGAACTTTGCAATCATCAGTATGAAGCTTTTTGATGAACTTAAATAGACCAAATACAGAATCATCGATTCTTTGGTTGTAGCATGTACAAGAAAATTCCACCGGCTACTGAAACATTGAGTGACTCGTATTCTCCAGCCATTGCAATACTCACAAGTTCACAAACCTGCAGGGATTTTTCTGAAAGGCCACTTCCTTCACTTCCTAAAACCAAACACAATGGTGTATCTGATAAGGAATCACAGAAGGTTGGAGAGAGTAAGCACACTGGCTTGACCAACTCTTCAAGCTCTGGATGCCCAGCCAGCAACTTCATTTTAAATTCTTCTTTGATAGACTCCAAATGATCCCAACAGCCAGAAACAACAGGGATCTGAAAGGAGGCACCTCGGCTAGCCCGAAGAGCTTTCTCATTGAATGGATCACAGCAGCCAGGAAGAAGGAAAACTCCATCCTGTCACATGAAAAAATACTAATTTCGACTAAAAAAAATTATTTCTAATATTCGACGATGAAATGTTATAATTTCTGAAAAATGAAATGCTAACACCCTCTTTAATACTCTTTTCTAAACATTTTCTTAGTTTAAATTTACTAGCACCCACCAAAACCAGTTGAGAAATTCATTAACTGAGAAGAGAAACCGACAAAAATTGGTGGTTAAAGGTTATCAATAAATTTCAATCAATAAGAGAATATTTCATGATAGAGAGAGTGTTCCTCCTCTTTTAAAGAAACCAAGGAGGATACACCCCCAGTTAAAATTTGTGAAAAATATTTCAACATATCATTAAATCTTTAGAATATTTTAGAGTATCTTAGATGATCACTTATTTAGAACAGATTCCATAGTTCATGATTTGACAGACAGATTGACGTGAGCCATGTTGCTAGATCAGATGATGATTCTGTAGTGGGCTTTAAGCAAGGCATGTCCATGAATGAAGAGTTAATGAGCGTAAGAAAAAGAAATGGAAGAGGTAAGGGAATTGAGGAGTAGCTGACGTGATAGTTTATTATGAATGATTACGCGGAGAGGGTGAAGCGTGGAGGATCATTACATATCCTTTTAGTTGAATCCTCAAGGATGGGCAGAGGGAAGCTTATTCCATCTCTGAGGGGCAAAGTTCTGGTTGTTCTTGTATGAGAGCTTAGACTCTTTGCATTTTGAATACAAATTACAAACTATTTTCTTTTTCATTTTATTATTCCTTCTGCGCTGTATCAATTGGTCCAAACGGGCCAGATAGTGTTGGGTATTTGATTATGCCAACTAAGTGGTGTGGGAGATCATGAAGGGCTCAAGAACTTGTTGCGTGAGGTTTATTTTCTTGTTTTTTGAGGGTTTCCTGTAAAACTTAAAAACCAGTGGATTGGTTTAATTAGGGTGATTAAGCAACTTGACGTAGCACTCTTGTGAGGGTAACTCAGATGAACTCAGTCCTTATTTCTAACAACCTTGCAACGTATTACATAGTTATCATATTGTGAGTGAGACATCAAAGATTGAAGCCATATGAGCGGCAATTGATCTTGCAGCTCCCATGTGAGAAATTCACTTGACATGCAACCAGTTCTCAATCTTCTATAGTAAATAACTTCAATAACTTGATTCACAAGAAAATGATGACTTTAGATAATAGGCTCAACTTCTTGACACCAGAAGGTAGTTCTGTGTGTCAAGTTACTCAAAGATACACACGAGAACATAATCTGTGCAGAAGATGATTGATGGCAAGGTAGAAGAGGAGGGGACAAATTGTAGTGGCAAAACAAAAATCAAGGTAGGATAAAAATTGTTAGACATTAGGATATCTCAAGAACTCATAGATGAGAAGATGTGTTCCTATTCCCTGAAATTATTTAAACTTAGACATAGGAGTTAGAAACCCTGTATATAAAACAGGGTTAGAAAAGCACGCACAGAGGAGAAGTATAATGATATGAAAACAATGATCCATGACCCTATGCCCAGGGGAGGAAGATAGTTCCTTACCCATCTGAAGGCCACAGCTGACCTGAGCAATGTACCAAGGTTACCAGGATCCTGCAGAGAACAACTCAAAAATATCACTATGGCACATGAAGTTTTTTAAACCAACAAGGTTCACACAATTTTCGCACTTTATAAAAGACACATGACACAGATTAGTTAAGTCCTTTTCGTAATTGAAGTCCATGAATATTCAGCTTTCTTATATACTATATGCAGGATGCGGGGAGCAATGAGTAAGGTAGAAGTGGGGATGATTCTGAGCTCCTTTTGAGGAACATGAACTTGGAATATTAATTTATTAATTTTTCATTAAAAATTTAGAAATAGAGTATAGAGCTTGGGTTCATATTCTCCTATCTGCATGATAATTGACAAAGATTGTACAACCTAGCGTATCAGTAACTAAACTTTTATGAAAACTTGGTAATTCAATTTAAGTATGTAGGGTTTCCACTAAGAAGTATATAGGGCCATACATTAATCAGAAGTTCACAAAATGACTACTACATAGATCCCATGGTAAAAGACTACTACATAGATCCCATGGTAAAAGACTACTACATAGAAGTTCACAAAATGACTACTATAAAACTTGGTAAAATCAATAAGTGACATTATGTATCACCTGGATCCCATCAAGGACTAAAATCCGATGAACAGACCGAAACCATTTCTTGTAGTTCTTTTGATCACCATCAACATTGAAAAAACTGGCAGGGATTTTCATAAGGGCAATTGCATCTAGAGAGTCAGTAGTTTGCAGGCCTGAAAGCTTTCTCATCACTACAGAGCTCACTCGCACAATAGAAGCAGTGGATTTATCCAACCCATCAGGAATCTCAGCTTTGTCAGGAAGAATTAAACAATCCATTGAAATACTTTCATCTTGTAATAACTCTCGAAACCTGCAGATTTCTCTGCAAACAACAACTATATATCATTCACCCATGCAGTTTCATTCCATGATTTTAGTCATCCATATCATTTATACTTCAAATGTGGAGAAAAAAATCATATAAAATAAGTTAAGTCCACGCTAACCAGCTATAAAAACTAAAAGAGATTAGTCAATCCATATTCTGTCCGAAATTTTAATTTTGTACGTGTTGATGCGATATCCTAAAAGTTAGTCAAGAACACAAACAAAAAGGATCAGGAAAAAATTAATTTCAGTGCATTGTTTGATCTATGTTACTTGGAGGATTTGAGTTCAACGCATAGGCTTCCACTCTTCATATTAATTTACAACTGCTTAAGCTTAATTAGGACAATGTAGCTTGAAAACTAGTAACTGTTTTCAGCTGAATAACTAATGAACCACAAGCATAGCAAGCATAAGAGAAACTTGTCTTGGATGATGAAAATAGCCTATGACTTTCATAACTTCTTTTATCTTATTTCCACAAGTTTCTAGGTAAAGCTTTTCACAACATGCATTATTTAGCTTACTTTTAGTAATGATCAAATGAACAACACTCTGAAATAACATGTTCCTCAATATTTCAACCAAAACCCTCTAATTAATTTATTTCGAATATTGGAATTTGGAAGGGCATGTAGCTTAAAAACCATATGCTTACAAACATAACTAACAAACATTTAAAAAAAATGATAAAAGGGTCACCAGCAAAAGACTTAAATCCACCGAAAGACAACCCAGAAAAAGAGAATTCAAAGAAAAGCAGGGGAAAAGGCATGAGACCTGATAGGGGTAGCACCGACAACGAGAGCGGAAGCTTGAGTGCGGCGATAGGAAGAGGAGTTGCGGAGCTTGAGACAGTGCTTCACAAATGGGTTAGAAGCACTAGTTATCAGCTTCGGTTTCTCGTCGTGAGAGGTCCCTTCCCGCTGCTGCTGTTGTTGTTGTTGGGGCGGTGGAGTGACCGAAAGAGTTGGCTTAAAACACCATATTTTATGTGTGTGAGGATAAAAAATGGAAGTACATTGCATTTCGGTCTGTGCCTTCTTCCACTGCTGCAGATGGCTATGCTCGTGGCTAAAGCTTCGACAATTTTGGGGAGAAAGTTAAACAATTCTTATGGCGAATGTTTAAGCACTTCATGGTCCCTTAAGACTTAAGGAACATCAAACAAATTAAATAATTTTTAGGACATGTCACCCAAAAAAAATGGTAAGAAATAAAAATTGGCTTTACAACACTTTTCATTGCAATTATTACTTTTATTGTGAATTTTGATGTCAAATATTTTTTATACATTTTATCCCCAATTTTTTCAAGCATGTAGATCTTATCCATCTATCATGTTTCTACACATTTTAAGTGGTACTGATATATTTTTTTTTTGACGGATTTAAACCATAAATAAATATTTATTTAAAATAATTGTTTTTATTATAGTAACGATTTTAAATCATCAATTCATGTAATGTGTATTTTCTTTTAATAAACCATCACGTCTTAATTCATGTCTTTAATAGTCATTCATAACTTGATTTCTACCTTGGTGAATTAGATAAATTTCTAGGGTAAAAAAGTGATTTTTTTAAGCTAAATTGAATTTAATCACTTCCTTATTTAAGCAGATTCATTGGATTAAAAAAATATTTTTTTATAAGAGAAATCTGATTTTGCATTAGCTTATCAAATTAGAGATTGGGTTTTTTCAAACTTTGAAACTCTAGATTAAATCGAACTTCTATTAAGTTTTTGTGAGAATATTTACAACATTGGAAAACTTATTATAAAAATTTGAAAAAATAATTATAAAAGATTATCTATAAATACTGACTACATGCTAAAGAAATTTAATACGATTTCTGTGAAAATGTTTATTCATAAAACAATATGATAAAAATATTTCCAAAAACCTCTGTCTTGTATTGAATATGATAGCACAATATATACATGAAATACAGAAACATTTTAGGCTATAATTACGCTAACTATTATAGTCGGTATCCTAAATTTGTCTATTAACAGATATGACATTAATGTGCATCGCTGTCATGCCAAGCTAAATATGGAAAAAAATAATCATGTAGAATCATGGCATGATACGGTATTTGTAATCGTATATTCTATGTTTATCACCCTCCCTCAAGATGGAGTATGAAGGTTATGAATGCCCAACTTGCCTAAAAAAGAACCAAATTTAGTGGCGCCAAGAGATTTGGTGAAGAGATCGACCAGTTGATGATGAGTGGACACATAGGAGGGTTGGATATGATTGTGTTGTATTTCATCACGAATAAGATGACAATCCACTTCAATATGTTTTGTCCAGTTCATGAAACACAGGATTCTTGACAATGTGAAGGGCAGCTTGGTTGTCACGATAGAGAGTCATAGGGTCGGTGTGAGTAATGCCTAGGCTCGAAAGAAGGCCTTGAAGCCATTTCAACTCACATGTCGTGTTGGTCATAGAACGATATTCCGCCTCAGCGGATGATCGAGAAACCGTATGTTGCTTCTTGGTTTTCCAGGAAACGGGGATTGACCAAGGAAAATAAACCAACCAGGTGAGAGATCTTCGAGTGAGAGGACAACTTGCCCAGTCCGAGTCACACCAACCATAAAGACGAAGGTCACTCTCTCTTTTAAAAGCACACCTCGACCCGGCTGCCCTTTAAATAGCGTACCACGCGGAGTGCAGCCCGCCAATGCTCCTGACGCGGTTGATGCATGAATTGAGATAGGACATGAACACCGTAAGATAATTCAGGTCGTGTAAAACACAAGTAAATAAGGCGACCGACGAGACGTCGATATTGACTCGGGTCAGAAAGTAGTTCGCCATCGCCCAATGCTAAACGATGATTTTCTTCGATTGGCGTGGACACGAGTTTCCCTCCAAGCAATCCTCGCTTCAGCTATGATGTCCAACGCATACTTCCGTTGACACAAGAAAATTCCTGTAGGAGATCCGGCAACCTCCACCCCAAGAAAGTATTTTAATTTCCCTAAGTCCTTCATACGAAAACATTGATGAAGATAATCTTTGAATTGCGCAATGTCTTCATGATGATTGCCAGCAATGACTAGATCATCCACGTAAACTAACACAACCAGTTCGACATCTCCTTTGCGAAAGATGAACAAGGAGTGATCGGACGAAGAACGTTGAAACCCATATTGAACAAGAGCAGTTGAGAGCTTGGCAAACCAACACCGAGGAGCTTGACGAAGACCATAAAGGGACTTGCGGAGACGACACACCATACCCTTTTGAGACACCAAGAACCCCGGCGGCATTTTCATGTACACATCTTCCTCAAGATCGCCGTGCAGAAAAGCATTATGGACATCCATTTGATGGAGTTCCCGAGTCTTTGGCTACTGCCACTCGCCAACACCTGTCCGAATGGTGACCATCTTTGCCACTGGGGCAAAGGTCTCGTCATAGTCAATCCCCTCAACTTGGTGATTTCCCAAGACAACTAATCGGGCTTTGAAGCGTTCAACGCTCCCATCAGAATGATATTTGATTTTATAAATCCACTTGCAACCCGGAGGCTTCTTCCCTGCCGGTAGAGGAGTAATGTCCCATGTTTCATTACTTTGGAGGGCCTCGAATTTCACTAGCCATGACATCTCTCCATCTAACATCCCGAACGGCTTCAAAGAAATGCACAGGTTCTCGCTCCGCATGAAGGGCCGCAAGAAAGGTTCGGTGGGGGAAGGAGAATTTAGCACAATTTAAGTACTTTGTCAAACTGTAAGGCATACCCGAGGAAGCTGAATGTGGAGTGCGAATTGAGGGACCGAGTTGTAAAGTGGTGTTAGTGACATAATCACGAAGCTTCACGAGATGGCTTTCGTACACGAAGACCTTTCCCCGGGGATGCAGGGACAGTATGCTCCTCGGGAACCTCTAGTTCTGTCATCATAGAGTCGGCTTGTTCCGGTGGGAGAACGATCCGGGTGGGAGGCTCTTGTTCATGGCATTCGGCGTGGCCCTCCCCGAACTTAGTTGTGGGCACATCTTCATCTGTGGGGTTAACGTCATCGGTCTCCACAACGTGTTCTGCGTTGTTCATTGCACCAAGTCCAGGCAATGCTTCCTCGACAATGCCAACATCAACAAGTAGGCAATCCTACCTCCGAATGTCTACTGTGGGCAAGAGAGGCAAACGGGAATTCATGTTCTACAAACTTAACATCTCTCGAAGTCCGGAAGACTTCTCTTTCCGGATCAAACAATTTCCAACCCTTTTTCCGATTGAATATCCAACAAATACATTCTTGCGACTTCTACTTGCAAATTTGTCACCTTTCCTATCTTGGTTATGTGCATAACACAAGCATCCAAATACCCGTAGATGGTCATAAGTGGGTGGCTTCCCATTCAATATTTCATATGGAGTTTTTCCATGGAGAACGGTTGAGGGTGTACGATTGATCAAGTATCCTGCGGTCAAAATGCATTCTCCCCAGAATTGAAGTGGAAGTTCTCCCTGAAATCGTAGAGCACGAGCTACATTTAGGATGTGTCGATGTTTTCGTTCGGCTCTCCCATTTTGCTGAGGTGTTCCAGAGCATGAGGTTTGATGGAGTATCCCATGTTGCTGAAAATATTGTTGAAGACACATAAACTCAGTTTCATTGTCACTTCGTAATATTTTGACTTGTTTCTCGTATTGTCGTTCTATTAAGGCGATGAAATGCATTAAGGTTTGTGACACATCTTTCTTATTATTCAAGAGATATATCCACACAGCTCGAGAACAGTCATCAACCAAAGTGAGAAAGTAAGATGCACCACAAGACGAGGGAGTTCTATATGGACCCCATAAATCACAATGTATTAAATCAAATATATTGGATGCTTGAAAATCACTTAAAGAAAATGTGTTTCTGCATTGCTTTGATCTCTCACACACTTCACACACACGAGTTGTATCCATATTTCTATTCACGCTGTTCAGATGCGGAATTTTTCTAACAATCTGGTAGGCAGGATGTCCCATTCGCTTGTGCCAAATCTCTAGTTGATTTTCTGCATTGGTCTGATACGCCTTTATGCCACTCACACCACGATACCAATAGAGTCCCTCTTTTCGTTCACCCACTCCAATCAGCATCCTCGAAGTGTGGTCCTGCATTGCACAAAATCTATCAGTAAAATGTACTGTACATTTTACTTCATTCGTCAATTGTGATACTAAGATCAAATTGCAATTCAATTTCGGAACATATAGAACATGTTTCAGTTTCAGTCCTCCATCAAGGAAAACCGATCCTTCTTTGTTTGCCAGCACCAATTCACCATTTGGTAGTCCCACTGGGCATCCTTCCAAGGCTCGACTCTCCCTCAAGTTTTCTAGTGTTCCTGTCATATGATTAGAGGCACCACTATCAATAATCCACAAGTCACATGCTTTCTTACCAGCTCATCTTTTCAGCTTCATTTGCCTTGCGAGAATTCAACATTGTTGTCAAGATCTCGCCATTGCTCATTACTCGATCCTGCTACTTCGGTTTTTCGGTTGAACCAACGTTATCCGCACCGAGTGTGCGCCATATTGACGCGAGCCGTTCCTCCTTTTCCTCGGAAGGTTCCCGTTCTTTGTTGATTTTTTTCATCGTTTCTATCGGTTCGTGGTCTCTCTCCCCACCATTCCGGGTAACCAATGATCTTGAAGCAATTGCCTTTGTTATGTCCCTTCCTTCCACACCGCATGCAAACAACTCGATTTTTCTTTCGCTTCATTGCGCAACTTGTTCCTGGTTTCCGCTCGCATAGTCATTCCCACGATCATTCCTCGCTCTTCTTTAGACCTGGTGATTGTTCTCACCCTTTCTTCTTGCACCATGGTGCCATACACCCGATTCAACGAGGGTAATGGATCTCGTTGCCAAAACATTTGACCGTGCAGTTCCATAACCCTCATCATCTAGCCCCATCAAGAACCGATGAATTTTTTCTTCTTCTCTTCGTTTCTCAAGTTGCGTCATAATATTACACTTGCATCCCCCACATCTACACCGTGGGATTTGCTCGTAATTTGCCAGCTTCATCCCACAACGTTTTCAACTTCCCATAATAGGAAACCATAGTCATTCCTTGTTGTTTGCATTCTCGCCAACTCGACTTTAGTCGCTGGATTCTTGGTCCGTTCACGATCGAGAATCGTTCCTTGATGTCATCCCATAGGTCCTTTGCGTTTTCCATGTATGCAACAAGTGGAACGCAAACTAGGTTCTATAGTGTTTAGTATCCAAGATACAAGCATCGATTGAATTGTCCACCAATCTTCTATCTCGGATGTGTCTTCTTCAGGTTCCTTATGAGTTCCATCTATGAAACCCCATTTCCTTCGAGCCCGCAGAGATATCTTCACGGCCCTTGCCCATTCCTCGTAATTCTCTTCTCGTAATTGTACCCGTGTAATCACATTTCCAGGATTATCACCGGCACTCGGATCGTATGGCGATGGTGTTTTCTTCACCGCCTCTCCTCTCTCGCCATTTTAGAAGTACGATTGTGTTCTCGGTCGTTGGATATCGAGTTTGGTTCGCTCCGATACCATGATAAAAATATTTCCAAAAACCCCTGTCTTGTATTGAATATGATAGCACAATATATACATGAAATACGTAAACATTCTAGGCTATAATTACGCTAACCATTATAGTCGGTATCCTAAATTTGTCTATTAACAGATATGACATTAATGTGCATCACTGTGCATCGCTGTCATGCCAAGCTAAATATGGAAAAAAATAATCATGTAGAATCATGGCATGATACGATATTTGTAATCGTATATTCTATGTTTATCACAATATTTCTATAATAAACATACAACTGTTTTTTTTACAACAAAGTTATTAAACCCAGCACCATTAACTCAAGTTTTTAATTGTATTAGAAACCCGTGAAACTATATCAAATATAATAAAATATGCATTTCTTTGCTATTCAAATCCAATTCATCTAAAAATAGAATTACAATTCGATTAAAAAATCGATCAAAATAATTTTTTTATTTGTTAAAATTAATTTTTTTAGAATCGATTAATTTAATTTAATAATCAACAGTTAATTCAAATTAAACCAAATAAAATTATAATGTATTATCATTAAATTAAAAATATAAAATAATACTTTGATAGAGTGAGTTAGTTTTCTATCATCTTAAATATATATTATATTTTTTTAAATTACGTATAAAACAAATTAAGATCACAGAATATTTTTATCATCTTAAATTATAATTATACTTTTATAATATTTTTATTAAATAAGAATTTTATTATATTTTAATAATTTTATAATAAAAAATCACAAAAACTTCAAACCACAAAATAATAATTTGATTTGATTTAAATTAAAAATAAATTAAAAAATGAATTTAAATTTTATTTTTTATTCAATTAAATTTTTAACACAAAGTCGAATCATAATTCATCGCAAACATCCTATCTCCTTATATTAGTAACCAAAGAATGATGGAACTCCTCCATGTCCAAGGCAGGCAGGAATCACCAGCACCTTCAAAAGCTGCACCTGAGATTCAAAATTTGAATATGGCACCAAATTTGAATATATCACTTTTTGCAAAAGGTTAGGACTGCGAAACTAACATGATAAGTGAACTACTGTGAACAATTAGTATATTTTGCACCAAATATAATTTATATACTATATCTTGCAAACAAAATTATATATTTTAGTATATGTCGGGATTCAAATATTAATCTACCAGTTTGATATCCAATATTTAGACCATGTCAATAACTAGTCCAATGCTGATAATACCGAATAATGCTGGGTTCACGAGTTAAAATTCAACTGAAAATAAAGTTTTGACCCATAAATAGGAAAGTTTTCATTCTCTTAATTCTCTTTAACTCATTTTCTCTCTCCTCCATAAATTCACCGAATACAACAAAACATTTCAACTTTTAAGCATGGAGTTCTATTAACAAACATTTCCTTGATTTATCTACATAACCAAGAAAATTGGAATCATACTGCTGATTATTTCTGACCGGTAGCAGCATTTTGCCACTATTTGAAGAGTAAAGCAACACAAAATATGAAACAGAATAAAAAAATTCATCTCATATTACACCAGTAGATTCAAGGGAGCTTAATTGCATCAGTACCGTGCTAATCCATACATTACTTAATAAGAACAATATTGTTTGAATATCTATCCAGGCTCTCTAATATTATCCCCATTGCACACTAATGCTTTCTAAGTTTGTCTTTTTACCCTATAAACCCACCCCGCTTCGTGCTCTACAAGATGAGGGCTAAAAAGATTTGTAATGAAATTACTTCAAAAAGGTTTTAGAAGAGAAAGGAGTAATATAAACATGGTTTTATATCTTATATCGTCTGAGATGAGTGCAGAGCTTGGCTGGGAAATTCATTCACTAAAATTATAGGGTTTTGATTATACATCCTTTGAGAGTTTGTAGGAATATATAATCTCTCTGATGTTGGCGGTATATTCTGTACTGATGGAGGCATGAAGACCCTCCCGGAAGAGGGAGCCAAAGCATCGTCAAGCTGACAAGCTGGACTAATGCATTCGTTTCTATGAGATGGTACAGGGATATCCACTCCCTCTGTAGTTGGAATATCAGACCTTTGAGATGTTGATCCAATCTGGTCATTACTGTGAGATGTCGAAGCCTTGTATATTCTCTCAGAAGTTGGAAACAAGGGGTCAGTACTTTCAAATGTTGGACCAATACTTGTGTTCAAATGAGATGCTTCTATCATGCATGCCACGTCATTGTTTGAATGCACAGTAGCATTCATCCTATGAGACACTGGACTGATGTTATCTCTCCCTTGTGATATTTGAGATATGTTATCAGTTCTATGTGACATGGACATGTATATCCCCTCGGTTTGCAATGCTGCATCAGTATCAGTCCTTTGGGGGGTAAATAAATTACCATTCATCTGAGATACAGACACATGACTCCTCTCAGAAGTTTGTGGAATAATTTCACTCCTCTGTGATGTTGCTGGTGAATTTTCATTCCACTTAGATGTTTTAGAAGCATACATCCTCTCTGATGCCTGTGGTGTGGCAACAGGTACTACTTGGCTAGGTAAATCCCTTTGCAATGCAGATGATAATAATAGTGACATATCCTGATCTGACATATCCTTCTCGGATGTTGAAGGCAGCACTAGGGAAACATCCTGCCTCCTGTGATCCTTGTCAGTTGATGTAGATGCAGATGACATGGTTGTGTTTTGTATATCTGCATCAGTGATTGCCGCTTGTACATCATAGGTTGGTGAATCACTTTCAGATTCTACTGGCATGGCTCGTGACAATTGCCTAGGAAAATCTCTCTCAGATGCACATGTGGTCGGGAATACTCCTAGTCTAGGGAAATCCTTCCATCGGTGTGCCACTGTTTTGATTTGGGTATAAAACTGTACTCCTGCTTTTCCTGCAATTCATCAAGGGACAAGTAATATGAAAAACTTACTCAGACTAGGAGAACAAGTAAGAAGAGGGCCCAAACTATACCCCAAAAACTATCACCAGCAAAAGATGCTTTTGACCCATTGGAGGAAAATGGTAATGGAACAGGTACATTGATCCCAACCTGTGCAGAAAATTTAATACAGATTACCCTTTAGAAAAGATTAACATATCTGATGTGTTCACATTCTTGCATAGGTTTCAAAACATTAACATATCAGATGAGTCCAGACAAAAGAAAGCATGCTTCTATAAAATTTAGGGTTATTGATTCCATTAAATAGGAAAATACAATATAATTAGATTACATCAAAGAGGGAAATATTTAAGCAAATATTTTCACTATTAATTATTAATTTGGTTCCTTATTAGTATAGATTTTCTTCATTATAAATAAGAATACTTTTGTGTGTATATACTACAACCCTTTCAAAATCGTATTAGAGCGACACATCCTGTGACTAATTCACTTTCGGGCATGACTTTTTCCTAGAGGCACTAATTTAGACTTTGCTACTCTGATTTTCTCTCTTGGGTATCATTTTTTGTTCTTTAACAATCACCGTGCCATCTGAACATTTTTTGCTCTCCAACAGCTGTCATGCTTTCGAACCTTTTTTGCTCTCCAATTGTTGTTGTGTCTTTTGACCTTTGATGTGACCCCGTATTGGAGCCACCCTTTTCTGGCAACCACTACATTGCCTGGCTCATGGCCAAATGTTGCCATGTTTCGCTAGTTACTCGACACATCTTCTTCATACTTCTACAAAATATTTATTTGCGAAGCTTTGTCAGGTCTAGCAACCAACTTGCTGACATGACCCTGGGTTTGTCAAGCAGCCTCACATTAATATTTGTAACAAGTTTGACTAATGATAAATATAGTCTAAGTTGAGGGGGAGCGTTAAAGATGTTATTTGATTACATTAAATAAGAAAATATGATATGATTTTGTTACATCAAATAAGAAAATATCTTAGCAAATATTTTTCATTATTAATTATTGATTTGTTGTGTGTTAGTATATCTCTCCATTAACAATTCTGTATAGAGAGAGAAGTAAGAAAGTAAAATTCAAAGAATACATCTATTCTCATTATTAAAAAGAATTACAAAAGTCGTTTTATGAAGAATAAGATAGAGATGAAAACTATTATAAAAAAAAAAAAGAATAACAAAGGCTTAAGAACCAGTAGAAATTTCCACGACTCACACCCCCTCAAACTCAAGGCGGTTATGATTTATAGAAAGAGCAATCACATTAAGTTTTATAAAAATGAAACATGTAGGAGATGAGGGTTTGGTGAGAGCATTAATACACTAAACTTGAGGTGAAACATGTTGAACATAGAGACATTTTGCTAGGACTTTTTCTCTGAAACAAGAGATCAATTTCCATATGTTTGATTCTTGCATGAAGGACAAGATTGTGAGCAAGAGTCACTATACTTTGATTATCACCATAAATTGCAGGAAGACCATGCGATATTCCATGTGATATTCCATGTTCTTTAAAAAGAGTTTCAATCCACAAAATTTAATCTAATGTTTGAGCAAGACTTCCAATACTCTGTTTTTCAGTACTAGACCTTGCTAAATCAGTCTATTTCTGAGACCACCAGGAAATAAGATTTGGTCCAAGAAAAATAACAGCACTAGATGTGTTGACCTACTATTATTAGGATCAGTAGCCCAATCTACATCACAAAAGGCTTGTAGAGAAATGGGAGATGCAACAGACATGGGAGTTAGATGAAGACCATATAAAGAGTCCCTTTAAGATAACTGCAAATTGTTTTTACAGCAGCCCTATGAGATTAAAGAGGTAGAACCACAAACTAAGAAACTTTGTTAACTACATAGCTTATTTCAAGATTAATTATAATAGCTAACTGAAGTGCACTAACAATAAACCTATATAAGGTTGCATAAGGAAGAAAATAAGAACCTTCTTTGTATAATTTGCAAGTAGATGCCATAGGAGAGGAAATCTGATTAGACTAACATATTGAATCTGTGAAGAAGATCACGAAGATACTTGTTCAAGTTAAAAGAAGAGAACCATCTTGTAGGATCTAACCTCTATTTCCAAAAAATAATATAGTTAGACCCAATTGTTTGAGAGAGAAGGCAAAATTAAGTTGATTGATTATCTTTTGAACAAAACTAAAGGAGCTACCTACAATTATTATATCATCAACATAGACCAATAGGTAAATCATATCACATGACTTTGATAAGTAAAAAGAGATGGATCACATTTATTGAACTTGAACCTATACTTAACAAGAGTACCTTGGAACTTATCAAACCATTGATGAGGGGCTTGTTTCGAGCCATAGATAGCTTTGTTGAACTTGCATACTAAAGAAGAATCATTAGCCTCAAAACCAGGGGGTTGTTGTATGTAAATAGTTTCATCCAATAGACCATTTAGGAAGATATTATTCACATCTAATTGAAGACGAGGCCAACACTTAGTAAGAGCCAATAACAAAATTATTCTAGTAGAAACAAGTTTGATAACAGGAGAAAAGGCTTCATGAAAACCAAACTGAGGTTGCTGATGGAAACTTTTAGCAACAAGACAAGTTTTATACTTAGAGAACCGACATTCTCTTCGATCCTAAATACCCACTTACAACCTATAGCCTGCCAAGAGGGTGGTAAGAAACCAATGTCCTAGTATTGTTTTTTTACCAAGATATCAAACTCCAATTTCATACCATTGTATCAGTTGTGATCTTTCAAGGCAGTCTTAAAACTCTTTGATTCAGCATGTGTCATAAAAATAGAGATGTAGCCCGTTTTGCAGCACATGAGATTTATACCTTGTTTGCATAGGATGTGTGTTAATAGGAGGAGGAGAAGTAATGTGAATGAGATTCAGTGTGAGAAGTTGAACGAGTGAAGATTGAGGAACAGTAGGAACAAGTTCAGTGGTTTGTGAGGAACAACTAGACTCAATGGTAAGTATTAGGAAGGACAACAAGAATAAAATTATATAAAAGGAGGACAAAGTAGGATTGACGTTGTTGGTGTTTAAGGTGGAAAATAATTTTGTACAGGAAAATTTTTGTTAATTAAAGATAACATCTTTTGATATGAATATTTCACCAATAAAGGAGAAATTTGTACCCTTTGTAAGAAGTAGAATATCCAAGTTAGATATACTCATGAGATAAAAAATCAAATTTATGCTTATTGTAAGGTCTTAAGATGAGGAAACAAACACAAGCAAAGGTTTTTAAGAACTGAAAATATGGGAGAATTTTAAAGAGAACAATATAAGGAATTTGAAAATTGAAAGAAGTTGTGGAAAATCTATAATCTGATAGATACAATGATAAAGGCATGATCCCACTTTTTTAGAGGAAAAGATACATGACTTTGTAGAGTTAGACGTATGAGCTTTCTTTCAAAGACACCATTTTGATGATAGGTAAGATGACAAATAATCCTATGCTGAATTGCAACTTTAGCAAGAAACCTAGACAAAGAACTGACCACCCCAATCAGTTGTGGTTTTGAATTGTTAAAAAATAGTAAAGAGATCAGACTTCCTTTTGAGAAAATAGGTTCATGTAAATCTAGAAAAAACATCAACAGAAGTTACACAATATGAAAAACCATGATAACAAAGGAGAAGGACCCTGTAGATTACTATAAACAAGTTCAAGAAGAGAATGATAAATAGTTTGAGATTACAATAGGCTTTTTTACTTAAAGAAGAAGCTTTTTTATGGAGGAACTCTATGAGCTTTGCCAATACAATAGGCTTTACATAAATAAGAAGCTTCTTTATTGGAAAAAAATATTACATTTTTGAAAAATGAGTTTCATAACATAAGCATTTGGATGCCCTAGTCGAGCATGCCAAAAAGATTGAATACTAGAATTATTATTAGTATTGGTCACAAAATTAACAGAAAAAGATTTATATATCCCGTGAAGCAAAGATGGAAGGAGAAGCTTGAAATTGCAAATTAGGAAAAGCATAGAGATCATCAAGACCAACATATCCATGACAACACCACCTCATTAGTTACATTAACAAAAAAGTGAGTTGCAAGGAATTCAAAGTAAACAAAATTATCCTTAGCAAATGTACAAATACTAATTAGATTTTTAGTGATATTGAGAACATGAAGCAAATGATGAAGGACTAAAGAAATGTTAGGATTATTAGGAGCAGAAAATAGGAAGAACCAGAGGATTGAATTAGCAAACCTGGGCTATTACTAATGTAAATTTGTTCAGGACCTCATAAGGAACAGTTTGATTAATATTCTTGACTATCTCCAGTAACATGGAAGGAAGTGCCAAAATCCAGGAACCAATTGGAATTACAATGTTAAACATTGAGTGTAGGCAGCAGACCTGCTCCTGTGTTGGTTAACAAACCAGTAATAGGATGATATAACTAATGTGAAGAAGCACGAGAGTTGCCAAGAAGGTAGAGAAGAGGGGTAGAGTTGTTCATGTTGAGGAGATTGTGAGTATGTGTTGTGTTGAGTAAATGGTTAAAAATTTCTCCAAAAATTTTGATTGGAATATCCTTGAGAATTTGAGTAAAAGTTATAATTTTGATCAAATCTATATGATAAAAGAGAGAAGCCGTATGTCCATACCGGAAACATACTTGGCATTGAATATTAGCAAAGCATCCTCCACAACCAAGAACCTGACCTGTAGAACTAGAGCCCTAATCACTATAAAAAACAAAGGAACCCCGAAAACCAATAACGGAATCTTGATTTTGCATAGTTCGAGTCATTCCTACAACAGGTTCTTCATCATTTTGTGAAATAGAATAAGATGTTGATGTTTGAGTCAAATTAACAGGGCAGAATCAATAACTGATTTCTTGTGACGAGATTCATAAGTTAGAAGAAGAGCTTCAACTTCTTCAACTTAAAGAGGTTTACTTTCAATAACAAAAATAATAGATTCATAATCTTGAGCAAACCTTGAACAATCACTTCAATATGTTCTTGAAGAAAATCTGCCAAAGTAATGATTTTCAAGAGACATGGAATGAAGTTGACACATCTTACTCTTGTTTGTTTACAAAAATACTCACGAACTTTCCAAGCTTGATAGGACTGAACACTTCTAAAGAAAGGATCTTGATAAAGTAATTGTAATTATGTTAATAGCATTTGATCTTGTTGCTCCCAGAAGCATTCCGCTAGATTGATTTTTCCAGATTCAATATGAAACCGATGCAGAATAGACGGATAGACCACAACTTAGAAGATAATTCAACTTGTTTCATGGCTGCACTTCTCCCACCAAAGTAGAGAATTGGGATCATCTAATTTCTCATAAATCTTCATAAAGACAACGGAAGAAGGGGAAGGAGGAGGAATTTCAACTATAAAGAACCTTTAAGCTCTTGATACCATATTACAGTTCTTGAGAGAGAGAAGAGGGATAGTAAAACTGAAAGAATATATCTATTCTCATGATTCAACAAAATCACAAAAGTCTCTTTATATAGAATAAAGAAAAATGTCAAACTGCCATAAAAAACAGAATAACAAAAGACTTAACAACTAAAAGAAAGTTACATTACTCAATCATTATAAATAAAAATATTCATGTATGTACACTACACACAATTACAAGCAAACCTTTTAACATAAAATAAAATAGTGCTTACATATAGAATAAAATAATGCTTACCAGTCCAGCCTCAACCTCATTTTGGAACCTCCTAGCAGC